AAAAACTCCGCAACTTCGCTGTGGATGGAAGTCTATTTTTAGAATTCCTGGTTTTCTCTTGGCGTCACCCATATATACCTTCGCCAATCGTTTATGTGACTTTCTTTTTGCTAATATAGCAATAATTGGATGCTGCAGTTATAGGTGCAGGAAATCTAAAAACCACAATCACTTTAACGGGAAACACATTGAAGGTAAACTAAATTTGATAATGGCTTATTTTAAGTGCACTATGCATAAAATAGCTATTAAGAGCATACTATTTTTGGCGCAAAAAGCTTGTTATTAAGATAGATAGACAATTTAAGAAATTGATTTTCAATGTGCAGCCAATTTATACAGCACAGTACTTCTATATGGAGGTATTGACGTTTTTAAATTTCTGCACCGTACTGTACGTTGATCGCTATTTCGATCAATATAAATTTCACGGGTATTAATAAACGATACCCTGATCCGTATGATTACCATAAATCATTACGTTCTAATAGGAAGCGATTTTTTGGTCTATTCTTATTAAATATATGTGAAGTATCGGTAGTTTTGTAACATAAATTATATGATACATGAAAAAAAGACTTGCATTTACTAGTTTAAACTCAAAGTTTACTATATATTACTGATCTTCGATTAGTTAACTTAGAGGTATTTAGAGGTTGAAGTAGTAAATTTGAGACTATAGTAATATACTTTCAAATTAAACTATTAATATGTCATCTTCTACAAAATTATATAAAATAAACTGATTAAACTTTTAAACATACGATTCTTTCTTGCACTGCACATTTTTAAAATGAATTTCAAACGATTGTTTACTTTAAATAATACTGTTTTGAATATTGATCTTGAAAATAATTCTGGCATAACCTTTGATTCTTTGGATGCTGACAATAATTCCAATGATAATAACAAAGCACTTGACAAAGATTTTAATGATGTTTTTGATAGAAATCTTAGCGATAACGAGACTTTAATGATGGCCATATATTACGTAAAGTAACTTTAATTAATAATAATTCACCCATAATAACAGTTAGGCAAATTTTTACCAAATAACGTGATGTTGAGCAACACATTAAGGCCTATGCAATAAAGCATGGCTTCACAACAAGATTAGATCGTACTGAAAGAATTTTAGGCTTTCTTACCAGAGCAGAATTTGTTTGTCGTCATGTTGGAGCTCCTAGTAACAAAGGCACTGGATTACAAACAACAAAGAGTGTTGCAATGGGTTGTTCATGGAAAGTAGTAGTTCACTGAAACAAAGCTATATATTATATAAAATCTGTTTTTTTTGAACATAACCATCCTATGAATGCTGCATCAGTTGTGTTTGATCTTAGTCATCGTAAGCTAAGTGATAGTAAAAATATGCATGTGTAAACACTTTATAATGGAGGTGTCCCAGTTCCAACAAATGTCAGCATGTTAACTGAGGAATATAGTAGATATATTCATAATAAGGATATATACGATACACTGAATCATCATTCTTATAATTATATCAAATGGTTTTCACAAATTACAGAATTGTTAAATAATTTAAGCAATAATGATGAATATCTATTCACTATTCAGTTAATAATAGCAAACTTCATTGCTTATTTGGATTAAATGTAGTATAGCTTACCCCTTAATAAAATCTTTAAAAATATTTAAATAAATTACTTTATTTTATAATAGAAAATTTTAAATTAGTTTTTTAATATTAATTAAAATATTAATTACAATATAAATATAATAAATAAC